TTACTGAACGACATTGATGATTCTCCTGTTAATTACTATATCCAACATCTATCTATCTATCTATCTATCTATCTATCTATCTATCTATCTATCTATCTATCTATCTATCTAGTTCAATCTATTCGTCAATGATGAGTCTTCTGTTAATTACTATATCAAATATCTATCTATCTATCTATCTATCTATCTATCTATCTATCTATCTATCTATCTATCTATCTATCTATGTCTGTAAAGACTATAATGAACGTAATATAAGACTATAATGAACTTTACTGAACGACATTGATGATTCTCCTGTTAATTACTATATCCAACATCTATCTATCTATCTATCTATCTATCTATCTATCTATCTATCTATCTATCTATCTATCTATGTCAGTCTATAAGGACTATAATGAACGTAATATAAGACTATAATGAACTTTACTGAACGACATTGATGATTCTCCTGTTAATTACTCTATCTATCTATCTATCTATCTATCTATCTATCTATCTATCTATCTATCTATCTATCTATCTATCTATCTATCTATGTCAGTCTATAAGGACTATAATGAACGTAATATAAGACTATAATGAACTTTACTGAACGACATTGATGATTCTCCTGTTAATTACTCTATCTATCTATCTATCTATCTATCTATCTATCTATCTATCTATCTATCTATGTCAGTCTATAAGGACTATAATGAACGTAATATAAGACTATAATGAACTTTACTGAACGACATTGATGATTCTCCCATTAATTACTCTATCTATCTATCTATCTATCTATCTATCTATCTATCTATCTATCTATCTATCTATCTATCTATCTATGTCAGTCTATAAGGACTATAATGAACGTAATATAAGACTATAATGAACTTTACTGAACGACATTGATGATTCTCCTGTTAATTACTCTATCTATCTATCTATCTATCTATCTATCTATCTATCTATCTATCTATCTATCTATGTCAGTCTATAAGGACTATAATGAACGTAATATAAGACTATAATGAACTTTACTTAACGCCAATGATGATTATTCTGTATGTATACGCTACACAACCAATGTGTCTTTTTCGCGTGTCCTCTTGCTAAAGAAACAAAAGACATATTGAAGTGTGAAATTCAACTAATTCGCAATTGATTAGGGGCTCTCGTACTTTAACAAATAAAAAAAGGTCATACTAAAACTAATAAGAAGAAATCCCTTTTGAATCATCATATGAGTGTCTTTGTGCTCCACTTCCAAAAGGTTACCCCCTGTGAACGATGAAACTCGGCGTTGCTTAACTAATGACTATCTGTATAAATGCAAAAATAATTATCAGAAGCAAATGCTAAATTAAAAAAAATAACTTTCAGTAAACAAGAAGCATAACATGTTTTAGTTGAAAACGTGAACGAAACAAAATTGCAATACTAATTATAATAATGGAGGGAATATTTCCCCCGTAACAAATCTGGCGTTGTCACCGAACTCATAATTTTTTAACACGGATTCGTAGGCGGGTACAAGAAATAAACACTATTCAGTAGAATGTATGTAACAACTTTTAGTTCAATATTAGGTTTTGTGATCAATATTATGAGTGCCTTTGTACTCCGCTTCCAAAACGTTACCCACTGTGTACGATGAAACCAAGCGTTGCTTAACTAATGACTGTGGGTATTTGTAACAGATACTTTATAATTTCGTTAGGCATAAAAGATATTAGTTCCACTAAAATGTTTCATTTGATATTTTTAAGCGTGTCTTCCTTCTGATTTTCACGATACGATTATAAAAGCAAAAAATATTTGCCAGATGCAAATGTTAAATTAATAAATAAATTTGCAGAAAACAAAAGCTTAACATGTTTTAGTTGAAACGTGAACGAAATTCAGAATTCTATACTGCATTGAAAATTGAAACCGATAGTCACCACGTACTATTAGTTACTATATCCAACATCCATCTATCTATCTATCTATCTATCTATCTATCTATCTATCTATCAGTTTTTATCTACCTTATATTATTCTGTTCATATCTATCTATCTGTTTTTTATCTACCTTATATCATTCTGTTCATATCTATCTATCTATCTATCTATCTATCTATCAGTTTTTATCTACCTTATATTATTCTGTTCATATCTATCTATCTGTTTTTTATCTACCTTATATCATTCTGTTCATATCTATCTATCTATCTATCTATCTATCTATCTATCTATCTATCTATCTATCAGTTTTATCTACCTTATATTATTCTGTTCATATCTATCTATCTGTTTTTTATCTACCTTATATCATTCTGTTCATATCTATCTATCTATCTATCTATCTATCTATCTATCTATCTATCTATCTCAGTCTCTTCATTATCTATGTATCCCAATCTCTACATTATTTATTTCTCTGTCTCTCCCTCTCCATCTATCTATCTATCTATCTATCTATCTATCTATCTATCTATCTATCTATCTATCTATCTATCTATCTATCTAATGCAATTATCTATCTGTCTATCATATATATATATATATATATATATATATATATATATATATATATATATAGTGTTGAGTCCAGTTAGTGCTTAGAGATGGGACTGACTAGGAACATCGTATATTATAACAATGTTCTGCTGTCGGTAATAATTTTCGGATTTAAATTATCCACAAACGGTTGATAAGCCTACAAATTCTAATTCTATCTATCTGTTTACACGTATATATATTTTAATCGGATTTACCCAAAGCGAGGCAGTAAAGACACTAAGACTCAAGGGCCGGCTGGATGTGACAGAATTAGAAAACTGAAACGTTACTAAGAAGCGAGAAAAATATAAGAGTAATCAGGAAAACTGTTGATAACGACAGACATTGCATTTAAATTGAAGTAGATCAAACTTGACTGGAAAACATAGAGTCGGAAAATATTTACATAGGCGAGAAGTTCGAGAGAAGAAACTGTTAGAATAGAACTTACGGTGACATCTGGCTAATTCAACTGTAATTCGTTGATACCTTGTTCCTAATCTAGTTCTGAGCTTAAATTCATAAGGTCTAGGTACCCTGGCGAAGAGCTCATAAGAACATGTATTTGTGTTCTTGATTTTGTGTTTTTGCATTTGAATTATGCAGCAGACACACTGATGTGCTCTCAGTATGATACACTCAGGCCTTGCCACAGTGAATACCTTAAAAGCTTTCGGAAGTAAAACGGGAATGAATTTCTAATGAGGCCCAGGTTTTACGACTTGTACAGTCGTAAAACTTAAGTCTCATTAGAAACTGACAAAGTCGTTTTCTGTATACTTTTTTCTTGCTATTAAGATAGAGCGTTTAATGTACTCTCTTTCGCCAACAAAAAACACATCCCACTCCACATCCAACAGAAAAAAAAGACTAGAATTAATCTTTTTGCTAATGTTAATGACCTCCTTGAGGAAATTCGCAACAAGATGTATATAAGAAAACGCTCTTTCAAGCAGCATCGCGTACGCAATGAAGTAATTACAAAGAGTAGCTCAAACAATATCAGCGCTTTCATGCGTAAGCAGATAAATAAACAAAGGATTAGAAAAGCATTTCATCTGTTTATCTAACACTTTGAATGAGTATTTCTTTCTTTAATCTTCAAGGATCTCCATTCGTCTGGTCAGGATGCTATTCTTGTTTCTATTAAAGTAAAAGTAACTGCGAAACACCACCGTTTCCATAAGTGTTTATCTTTCAGTGAGCCCACTTCTCTACAAAATGTGACCCAAGGTCGAGGATTAAAGTGGGTTTAAGGACAGTACCGTGCTAAAATTTCCCAAGCCTCTTCGACATTTCACTTTTTAAAGACGTCTTCCACATGTACAAAAAATGATTAAAAATAATGGAAGACTTAATAATTTAAAAAAAGAAAAAGCCAACGCTTAATATTATTAACTACGAACACGGCCAAAATGTGCTAAGTGTGTCCGGAAAATAAAACATCTGTATAACACTAAAAACATAAATACTACGCACACAACCAAATTAACGCTATTTACATTATTCAGGCTATTGTCCTAATCATTGTTGACATATTTATCAGGTATTGAACTCACAACCCTTTGGATCCTGTCACTGGATTTAACCAGCGCCTTTATCTACTGTGCCATGTGTCCTTAAGAACTTGGAGGGGGGAATTCACAGGAGATAACTGATAACTGACATCCATTAGACATGACACGTGGAACTAGAACAGTCTACTCCAGGAGCGAAATAAAGGGTTCAGTTCGATATTTCAACTACCTGAAGAAGGCCGGAGCGTACAACGGCCGGCCGAAACGTTGTAATAAATATGGTAACAAAGATGAGGACAGTAGTTCAAATAATTTAAACAGTGTCTAGAATACCTCATCTCAGAAATATAAAGATACACTTAATTAAATTGAAAAAATAAAATAACCCTTGATAATGGCTAATAGTATAGTCAAAAGCGCTCGGAATTATAGAACGTTTAGGCAGTTTCCACACAAACACAGTGTCGAAAAAAGAAAACACTTGATCAAACACAAAAAATATTAAACAAAAAGCTTAATCGTAGTAACTTATCTGCCGTTTTTAATGGAATATATATACGCCAGCTAGATGTTTTCCATAAAAGCTGTCTGTGTGCAATCTGCGGAGTTCAGCTTCAAGATAGGACATCTAGCGTAGACCAGTTTAACAGCTGTAATATTGGAGGAATCGAGACTTTTATCATTCAGTCTCAGTTACGGTGGACTGGTCATGGCTTAAGAATGTCTGATGACAGGATACCCAAGATCCTAATGTACAGCCAGTTAGATCAGGGCTACAGGAATGTAGGGCGCCCATGGCTAAGATACAAAGACAAGCTGAAAAGCAACTTGTCAGCAGTCAATACACCACATGACACCCTTGAGCGCTTTGGAGCGGGTAGAATGGAGATCAACGTGTTTTAGTGTACTCAGCAATTTTCAATCTGCTTGTCTGAATCATCTTCAAGAAGTGAGAGCAAGATCTAAAAGGTCAGCCAATCTAACAGTGATCTCATCTCACAATCCTCACAATTGCTCCATATGTGGCCACCTTTGTAAATCACTAGCGGATCTTAAATGCCACTTTAGATTATCGCATAAATTTTCATAACTGAATCAATAAGCAGTCAGATCTGCATAGGTCGAAACCGACGGGAGAGAGTCCATTATATATATATATATATATATATATATATATATATATATATATATACTACGTTAATAAAAACACCGACTAATAAAAATAAAAATAAATAAATATATAAGATAATAAATAAAAAATAAATAAAAACAAGCAAAATAATTTAACCCAAATAAATAAATAAACAAATAAACGACTTCTGGTAAAATAAACGCCAAAATAGACTACCCACAACGCAACACTGACCCGTATATATAAATAACCGAGAAAGATAATAGCACACGTGGCCTGACGATTGCATATAGCATGAAACAGATTGTTGCCTCTAAGTGTTGACTTCTATGTTTGCTTTTATATTTACACACGCTCTATCTCTGATATTGAGCACTTATCCCATAAATATAGCACATCTAAAGACTATATTTCTTCATACATATATATATATATATATATATATATATATATATATATATATAAAGAAAGAACAGTAAGATATATAATCCGGCGTTCTTATAGATATTTTTATTTTTACAAAATAGTGCTCAATGTAAATTTACATAGCATTAATATTATAAATTAATTGATTTAAGATATGTTTTTTTCGCTACACAGTTCTAACCATGTTTCAAAAATGGAAGCTAAAAGCTCCGAATTTAATTTTGTAATTAATTTAAAGACATTAGTTCCATTTCATCCTCAAGCGAATTTTGTAGTACCTTTTAAAATTACTGGGTTTTAAAGACACAGCTAAAATCATAATTCACGTTTCCAAGGTTACAGATGAATCCACTTTCACTAGAGACAAGGGGTGTCTGCGTGTTCATTATGTCTGTATTTTAATGTATCAGTTATTAGCTACGATTTGGTATGGGGTAGGGATGTATTTTTCAATGAAATCTAGCATCCGTTAAAAGCATGTTGTCTGGATTTTTTTTTAAATTTATTGTTAACGGAAAAAATTCTTACGGCATTTTTTTCTATTTGTATATTTAAAGATTTTTGGTGGGTGTTTAGGTTAGAATACTTTTTATTTAACTAAGATTTGAAATATTTTCACTTTTAATTTTTAATATAATTTATATTTCTTTTAAGAACAATGTAATTAGAATCCCTTACAGTATGTAGAATTATTATCACATCAAGTATAATTATGTAAATTATTAGGTTACAAATTTTTATGGACATACCGCACACATCCTCTTTCAAGTACCCAATAAAACTGTCAAAATGACTAAGGAAGTAACTCTGTGTATCATAGGTCCACCAACCCCTCCTTAAAAGAACTTCAAAAAGGTATTTGACCAATACAAAAACTGACCAAAAATTAACGATAAGGACAGATGAAAACTACAAGCAAAGTTCACCTTCTTCAGAGACAATCATTAAACCCCATTACAAGCAGGAAGTTTTTTCCTGATGATGGCCATGCTGGCCGAATCTAGTCGAGGAACCGAATTGAAATAATAAAACAAAAATATTAATATGCAACCCAGTGTGTCTGAAATTTTAATTTTTAATATTTTTTATTGTTCAAGACACCCCCCCCATATATATATATATATATATATATATATATATATATATATATATATATATATATATATATATATATTTATTTAAATATATATATATATATATATATATATATATAATAATAATTTATTTAAAAAGTTATAACATAAACATGTTATAAAATCACTACAAAAATAGCTATTTTTGTATCAACTCTCCCGGTGTCTTATCAAGTGATGATGTTGAATGCAAAACAAATGGTTTTAAAAGTTTCAAATTAATTAACGATCCTTCGCAAAGAAAAACGTTGTTACAGAAGCTAGAATGACCAATCAAAATACAAGTATAGGAAAATTCAAAAAGCCTGAAACGAAGTCATGTTATAATAGCTATTCAGATCTTTAAAGTACGGTTAATATTAAAAAAATACTTGGGTATATATATATATATATATATATATATATATATTATAATTATATAAATTTATTACAAAACCCATCAATTTCTAATCACATTTTTCCTCTCATTTCAATGTTGGAAGTGTTACCTGATGATCCGAAATCCTTTAAAAGGATTTTGGTGAAATAAATATTGTAATGGTACCTTAAAGTGGTCTGTTTTTCATTAAATAATAGCTCTGTTCTTAACATTGAGCTCTCAGGATTTCATCCTCCTTGGATTTAACAATTCGGTTTACCAAGTTCTTCATAACTTAAATATGTATGTATATATATATATATATATATATATGAAAATACTTATAAATTTTTTAAATAAAAGAGGCATTTGTTTTGTCATATACGTATTATCTGTTTGTGA